TTGTTACTTAGCAACAGATAAAATAGCATTCCTTAACTACCCATGGCATCACCCACTCCCCAGCTCTGCAACTTTCTCCCACAGACACTCCTTATAAACTCAATCACATTAACCAGAAATGGGGAGAATAGAGGGTGGAGAGAAGGAGAGGTGTACCTGAAGATCAAGACCAAGGGTGACCCTCTGCAGCTGTCTAGTCCCCCTGGCAAACAACATCATGTTCTGTTAGTACCTCTGCGGTTTGGGCCTTCCAGCCAGACAGCAGATTCTATGAACAGCACCTAGTTCAAGGAAAACCTATTGCTGTCGAGTCAATTCTGACTCATAGTGACTCTATAGTGACCCTATAGGAAAACTCTGTTTTATTTGCATTTCCAATCTTATTACTCCTCAAAATTATTTCTCAAAAGCTCTAAAAGTTTTTGCAGATCCCTTACATCATCCTCAGGTCCTCAATTTCCTCTCTCCATTCAATGTAAGTGCCAGCCACAAGGGATTCCTGGGCCAGGGTTGGCCCCCCAGCCACTGCACTTGTGCTGGTACCCACACCTGACCCTCCAGATCTGCCCTGGGGCTGAGATGTGGGCTCCCTCCTCCACCTACCTTCCCAAGGAGCCCCCAAGCACCCAGAAGGCTGCTGGTAGGAATCTCCCAGGAGGTGATCCCGAGGCTGGCCTGGGGTGACTGAATGTCCATGGCGCCTTCATTATCTCTGCTCCTCCTCAACCCTGTCTCGGAAATGACCTTAGACGAGTTTTCAGAGCCTCCCCCTCTTCACAGCTGAAGAGGATTCTCAGGTAAGACATGTCTGCTGTTGTTAGCTGAGTCGAGTTGAATCCACCTCACGGTGACCCCTGTGCAGAGCAGAACTGTTCCACAGGATTTCAAGCCTGTGGTCTTTCAGAAGCAGATCACCAGGCCTGTCCTCCCAGGGGCCTCTGGGCAGGGGCAGATTAACCAGTAAGCAAGATATGCATGGAGTCCTGGGGGCTCAGTGGTTAAGAGCTCAGGCTGCTAACCAAAAGGTCAGCAGTTCAAATCCACCAGCTGCTCCCACCAACCTCTCCGCCAGCAGTGGAGCACTTAACCATCTGTGCCAGCCAGCCAGCCAAGACATGTCTAGTCGCTCCTACCTAAGTCCTTTATTTCTCATAGTCAGCTATGGGTCTTGGCTATTGGGCCTCATCCTTTTTTTGGAAGCAGCTGATTCCCAAGGAAATGGTGCAAACAGTTTGCACTTGTCTACTAAACTAAAGGTTGGCAGTTCGAACCCATCCAGGGCGCCATGGAAGAAAGGCCTGGTGATCTGCTTTCATAAAAATCACAGCCAAGAAAACCCTATGGAATAGTTCAACTCTAACACATGGGATCGTCATGAGTGGAAATTAACTCGAAGACAACAAATTTCGTTTAGTTTTGAGCCAGTTCCCTCCTACCAGCACCTTCTGGAGGGCTACCCCATCCCCTGAGTAGCCAAGACTCTTACGGCAGACTCCTCGGGCCTATCAGCGCCCTTCACATCTCTCTGCTTGGACTGAGGTCTCTCTGGAGGTCACTCTGGAAATCAGGCCTGGTCAGCACCGTTTCACCATTTCCGTGGGGTTGTGACCAAAGGGACTTCCCCCGTAACCAGGTCCAGGACCTCCATTAAGCTGACCTCCTCCTGGGGGCTAGCTGGCCACCAGAGCAGATGTAATATGCCTTCCAGAGTTCATTCCCAACACTCCTCCACTGGGTAGGCTTCCTACAAAGCTGGGGCCTCTCGGTTCCTCCTCCTTATGTGAACGAGGAAGAAATCCTCAGGGAGTATCTGTTTTGCACACACTGCTCTCAGGCTCTCAGACTCCTCCCCTATCAAGACGGGGTTTCCTGGTATCACTCTTTCCACCAGAGGGCAAACGTTACACTGGGATTGGGGTTACTTTGAAGGTGATATTCCCACGTGACTATTCTGAACAGGTTTCAGCAGAGCTTTTACACTCAGACTTGGAAGAAAGGCCTGGTGATCTACTTCCAAAAAACCCTATAGATCACAACAGTCTGATCCTACTGTGCACGGGGTCGCCACAAGCTGGGAGCCAACTCAATGCCAGCTAGCAACAACCTCAAGCTCAAATAAAGACTGAATCTATAATCCCACAGACAACCCTGACTGCGTAGTGGTTAAGAGGTACGACTGCTAACCGATAAGGCTAGCAGTTCGAATCCGCCAGGCACTCCTTGGAAACCCTATGGGGCAGTTCTACTCTGTCCTGTAGGGTCGCTATGAGTCAGAATCGACTCGATGGCAGTGGGTTTTTTACCCACCACCTCATCCTTCCCCCAGGAGGCTGGTGCAGTCCGTTCTGTCTGCGCTTTTTTCCCGAGTTTCCCTGGGCTTCTGAGCACCATGCCACCAGCAAGCTGGGTGCCAGGCACCTGACTGGCTGACATCCCATAAGGTTTACCACCTCCAGCATGTATGGACTCTCCTCTGGTCTCCTGGCTTCTGCAACAACTCCTTGCTGGCTGCTCCTCCAGTCTCATGATGCTACATGCTGGCCAGTCTACCCACCAGCTGCTGCCCGGGAGCTCTGCATTCTCCACTAACCGAGTCTGTCTTGAAGACTCACCTCCATCCCAAGGGACTCTACTTGCCTATCCTCCTTCCCCATCCAGCACTCAGCAAGGGCCAGCTTGCTTATACAGGAGGTTCCCAGACGCAAAAGGCCTGAGCCATGACCCTCTCTGCTGAAACTGCATGTGCTCTACCTCTGGAAAAACCCCATTCTGCACTTGCACCACAGGGCACAGGCCCACCCCTGCCTCTACGTTGGGAAATCCAGCTGGCTCTGAGTGGAATGAAATGTCAGGGATAGCGTGAGAGGCTCTTCAAGTTGGAAGGTGCAGCTGCACTTATTGGAGCCCCAGCCTTTGACTCTCCCCTTAAGGAAGCTGTCACCAATATGCTGACCTCGGGGGCTGTGCCTGCTTTGTCCAACATGGGCCCAGACCCTTTCCTCAATTGTCTTGAAGCATAGTTAAGACCAGGCTATCATGTTTAAAAGAAGCACAGACACAACGGGTAGTAATTAGCCATCTAAGTCACTAACAGATAGGCAAACATTACTCCTTGGGTTCTTCACAGAACTGTCTTGGGAACTGGTGATAAGGTATGAACCACACCTAGCACTTAGTAGGTACTCAACAAATAGAAGCCACTCTCAATAGCACTTCTGTTGCATGTTACTTACTAGTTGGGAGTCGTCTGAAAACCCCCAAGCACCATGGATTTCATAAGTGTGCGTATATGCCATCAGACGTGACTGACACACCCAAGATTATCTCAGTTGATAATCCTGCTTGTCACCTGGGCCTGGTCTTGTCCCTTTTCCCCCTCCCCCTCCCCAAGACAAAGCAGAGTCATTCCATTTTCACCAACAGACTGCAAGCCCACCAACCTCACCCTGGCAGAGTCCAGCCAGGCGGGCTCCTCACTGAAAGACATCCACTAGCCAAATTTCCACATCAGTATTTCCTGCAAAAGTGTGACTACCACAGAAGCTCCCAAAATATGCATCTCTCCCAGGGCTTTTTAACTGGAAACAAGGAGAATCCTTATAGGCCAGGTCTTCCTGTAAGAAGCAATACACTTGCTTTCTTTTACATCTTAATCACAGGGAAGGAGCTAGGAAAACTGAGGAGCACAGCTGAGCCTCTCCTACACCTACAGGTCCAACTAAATGTGCCTGTCCTTCACACACAGAACCTAGGGGGTTCCCGGAACATACTCTGCTCACCGCCTGGGAAAGCTCATTCGAGCCTTCATGTAGCGCCCCCTAAACTTTGCTCAAGTGCTACTAATCCATTTTAGAGGAATTCTGTTGTTCTCCTCTGGATGTGAAAGAGACGTCAAGTACCTCTAGGAGGCCAGGCTGTTTTTCATGTTTCCACAGGATACTTGCCAGGCGAACTCACACTATAACCATTTCATCCCTATCTTTCTCCTCCCCCCCAAGAGATGCACAGCGCATTCTTTTTTTTTTTTTTGGTCAAAATTTGCTACTTTGTTCCTTGAAGTAGGGCTGAGATGAAATTATAAATAAATTCAGTCTCCCTAATCTGGGCAGTGTTTTACCAGAACACTTCTGTACACTCACACAACTGCCACTGTTAAGTAAGTCTGTACAACAATCCTGGGGTCAGGCAACATTTTACTAAAGCGAATCTCCTGTAAGGTCACCCCGCCCCCAAGGACTGTGGAAACTTCGGGTCCCACTCAGCCTGCGACCACGAAGTTCAGCGACTAGAGGACAGCGTGGCCTCCCAACTGTCACCTAGACAATAAACAGCCAGCAGACTTGGCTCGGCAGGTCTCATACAGCCCTGGGGTCAGGTCAGGAACCCCAGAATCAGGGGGAGCTGCCCAGGGGAGGGGGCGCTGGCTGGGTGCTGCGGCACCCCCTGTATCTAGCCTGCTGATGGGGCTCAGGCTGGAGGCCAGCCAGGCTCAGCTGACCAGCAAGTGGGCGGCCCCGAGGCAGCCTGGACTGGGGCAGCACGTCCGTCCACGGTCGGCAGGCTCTGGGGTGGAGACGCGCGGCTGCGGGACTGAATCGGGATCACTTATCCGACCCCGGGTCCTCCGTGCGTCTTCCCAAGACCGCCTGCCTTGGGCAGCCCTTCGCCGGCCCCTGCAACTGAGGGGAGCGCGCCAGCCCACTCCAGAACGCACACAGGCAACAAGTTCGCGCTGCCTCAGGGAGGCCACGATGTGTTCGGAGGCCCCGCGCGGGGGGCGCCAAGGGGACGCTCCAGGCGCGCAACGCCGCTCACTCCCCGAGGGGCGCCCGATGCCTTCGGCAGCCCCAGCAACGCGGACGGACGAGACGAACGAGCCGCGGCCGGGCCCCCCGGCGCCCCTCGGACAGCGGCGGCACCGGCGTCCCGGGGCGGGCAACAGGTCCGCGAGTGCGCCGAGGGCTGAGCCCGAGTCTCCCAGCCTGGCCCTCGCCCCTTACCTCCAGCAACTGCACGTAGCTCGCCGGGAACCAGCCGCGGAGCCCATCCTCCTTCTCGCCTTCCCACCAGCCGCCGTCCGGGACCTGCAGCAGCGTGAGCAGCTCACCCGCGGCGAAGCGCAGCCCCTGGCCGTGCCGCTCCCCGGAGAAGGGGTAGAGGGTCCGGCAGCGGGCGCCGGACATGGCCTTGGCGCCGGGGCTCACAGCGCAGCCTGCATCCCTGCCGAGCCCCGCGGGGTGGACAGCGGCTCCGCGGGGTCCCAGGCGCCCGGCGCTCCGGGCTCCCGCGCTCTGAGCGCGCGCCGTCTCGGGGGTGCGCGGGGTCCCCGGCCAGGCGGGGGACGCGCGCTCGGCGAAGGGAAGCGGAGACTCGCTGGCTTTGGAGAGCAAGCGGCGACGCCCCCGGGCCGGGCGACTGGAGCTCCCAGCGCTGGGCGGGGGGGCGGGGCTCAAGGGGAGGAGACCGAGGCGCCGCGGGCTCCGGAGGCAACTTCCCGGGGACGCGGAGCGCGGGCCGCCGCCGCGAGGGCCGGCCGGAGCCGGGGCTGCCCCGGTGCGCGGAAATACGTCGCTCCCCAGGGAGGTGGGACCCCGAGCATCACCCACCGCCCGACTCCGCGGCGAGAGAGGGTCCGGGCGTACGTGGAGAGGGGCTGGCGGCCGGGCTGCCGGGAGGGGGCTCTCTCGGCGCGAGGGGGCGGGGCGCGGCGGGGCGGGGCCAGGGCCACCACGCCCGCCGAGGGTTGGGCGCTCCCTCGCAAAGCGGGCAGGTCGCTGGGGTGGGGGCTCCTGCTCACACGCCCACCACCGAGGACTGCCGGAATGAAAACGCCCCCGCGTGCCTCCTTCGTAGGCCTAGTGACCCGTGGCGGCAGGGCGCCTCCGCCGCGGTGTTTGTGAGAGAATGTGTTTGTGGCTGTCATTATTAGTAATTGAACCTGGGGTTGCACTTGACTCCCTAGAAGCTGAACAATGGGTGAACGAAAGGTTTGAAGCCTGGCGCCTGAGCAGGGTAGCCGGGTGGCAGCGTGTTACACTGAAGGACAGAGCCAGGAGGCGCCAGAGTCGAAGCTGGGAGAATTGGAGGCAGGCTGATGAGGATAAATGGAGGAGAGGAGAGAGGAACAGCCCCACCACTATCCTTGCAAAGGGGAGGCCAGACGTTAAGAATCTGAGGAGAAGCCGGCTCAGGGTACCAGCGCTCCTAAAACTGAGAAGAGACGGGCAGAAAAATCTACACTCAGTCAGTCAACAAACATCAGTGGTAGGCTGCCATGTTCCAGGTAATGTGCCAGTTACCTACAAAGATCATTTGGCAAGTCCCTGGGGAAACCAGTACACCCAGTTGGTGAAGGAAGTTGACCTAGAACTGAGGATACAGAAGTAAAAGAAAGGAAGGTTTCTTTGTTAGCCTACTCTATAGGGGATCTCAGAGTCCATTTCCTCAACCGTAAATAGCTGGACCCTTTAATCTCTCTGTATACTTCTAGCTCCCTACTCATCTCCCTACTCAGTAACCTTCCATGGCTCCCTACTGCCTATTAAATTAAGTACACACGTCTCAGCCTGTGCATTCTGGACTGCCACAACATCTTCTCTGGCCTTATTTCTCATCATGCCTACCTAGGTACGCTTTACAAAGTCAATCAGCCTGGGTACAAGAGCCCGAAGATCTTACACAGCTTTCTGTGCTCTGAATCAGACCCAGACGTGGGGCTTTTCACCGAGTTCAGTGGTTCTCAACCCTGGCTGCACCTTAGAATCACCTGAGGCCCTTCTAAAAAAATACTCAGGCCTGGGCCCACCCTAGCTTTGAGAATCTCTGTTGAGCAGTATTCGTCATTTAAGCCCCCTCACCTGAGCAGCCTGGCCTAGCCTCTGGCCTCAGGCAAGATGACAAATGCAGATTGTTTATAATAGTCCACTGATTGCAAATTCACAAACCCTTGCTTGGCCAGAAACTTGGAGAAATAAACTCTGTAGTCACCACTAAGAGTCAAAACCCACTGCCGTTGAGTCTATTCTGACTCCTAGCGACCCTATATCGAGTAGGACTGCCCCATAGGGTTTCCAAGGAGCAGCTGGTGAATTCGAACTGCCCACCTTTTGATTAGCAGCCAGGCTCTTAACCACTGTGCCACCAGGGCTAGCAGTCACTAAAAGCAACTGGGCAAATAAAGATTTAAAAGGGACAAAAATTCCTTGTATCAGGGGAGCATGTAGCTTTAGGCATCCTGTCCTCAGACTCTGGCGTGTAGTGTATATGGTCCAGCTCAAGGTAGGATGGCTGGTAGGGAGCCTGCCTGCACCCCAGAATCCCCTGGGGTTCTTGTGAGTAACCCGTCGTCTAGTTTGGACTTGAGAAACCTCAGCCTACAGAAATGTCTGAATGACCATACACGTCAGCTCCAAATGACCCACCCAAAACAGTTCTGCAGCGCCAGAATGGATGATGGCTGTCAATGTCTTCAATTCTTTCATTTCTTTTCTGTAATCCTGTGAGCTAGTGAAACCAGAAAATCAAACCAGTTGCTGTCAACTCTTAACTCATGGTGACCCCATATACATGTCAGAGTAGACCTGTGCTCCATAGAGTTTTTAGTGACTGATTTCTTGGAAGTAGATTGCCAGGTCTTCCAAGATTATCGCCACCAATTTACAAGTAAAGAAACTAGGCTCAGAGGGTGTGACTTGCCCATCATTACACAATACAGCCAGTCAGCGGCAGAGTCAGGCTTTGAACTCAGGCCTGGCTTACTCTAAGTCCGCCCCACTAAAAAAAAAACTCATTGCCATTGAGTCAGTTCTGACTTATAGCGAACCTATGGGTTTTTTTTTTAATAGGACAGAGTAGAACTGTCCCATAGGATTTCCAAGACTGTAATCTTTACAGAAGCAGACTGCCACGTCTTTCTCCCACAGAGTGGCTCATGGGTTCAAACTGGTGACCTTTCAGTTAGCAGCCAAGTGCTTTAACCACTGTGCCACCAGGACTCCTGGCCACCCCATTAGAGTGAAGAAATGTGAAACCCTGTGGCTCATTCACAAATAGCATCTTAAGAAAGGGCTCTCTGGTGATACCAATGTCAGTCCTGATAAAAGTAAGCCTGGATTCACAGGAGAGCTTCTGTCCAGGACCCCTTATCGGTCAAGTAACCTCAGACATGTCCTTAACACCTTTGGGCCTATTTCCTCATCTGTAATTAATGATTGAATCCAATAACTGGAATATGGGACTTGAGATGGTTGAAGGTAGTTAGTGGTTAAATGTGTAGGCTCTGGACTGCCTGTGTTCAAATCCCAGTTCTGCCACTTTCCAGCTGTGTGCCTTGGGCAATTTACTTAACCTCTCTGAGCCTCATTTTCCTCATTATTAAAAGAAAATGATAGTAGGATTTATAACATAAATTTATTAAAAAGATTCAATGACTAACCATGTAAAATCTTTAGAGCAAAGCCTGGAACATTAAGTACTCAGATATTAGCAAGTATTATTATCTCTCTAGTTCAATGGTCCTGGTAGTTTATTATCTGACACTTCTTTTTGAACCAGAATTTCCAGGACAATAATAAAAGTGGAAACACTTCCATCTTTGGGATGCCAAAACTTTCAAAGGAGTACAGTCTGCTCTACCATGTTTTCTTCCAGGATCGTGAAGGAAATGAGTTCCTACCTTCTCCACTTTCCCCCTTGCTTCCCCCCTCCCATGATTCTCATTACTATATTGAACCTTTATTTGAATCATTGTTACTTAACTCTTTAGACAATTAACTCTTATCTTACCAGTTAGTCTCTTTAACTCAGGGAGGTGATGGCATCTTTGTTTTAAATTTCCATTTATCCCTCTTGAAATCTAACATTAGGTCTTGCAAAAGTAGGCATTCAGAAAATACTTAACTGAATTCATTTCACGTTCGCAGATGGATTCACTTTGGAGCGCTGTCCATGTTCAGATTTTGCATGCTGCCAAGTGTGAAAATGTTTGGATTAGACTGTACCCTGAGAGTAGACCTTAGCCTTTCTTAGCTTTCTCTTAACATTGTGCATTTGATAATTATGTGCCGGCAGATTCTTCTTTTCTACCTATGACAGCCTTATATGCCTTTCCATCAGCCTATGGAAGGCAGAAAAATATAAGAGTTTTGGTTTCCTAAAAAATTAAATATAAATTTGCCATATTACCCAGCAATTCCACTCCTAGATATGTATCCAAGAGAAGTAAAAACAAATGTTCACACGTAAGCTCGTAGTGAATGTTCATACCCGCATTATTCATAATAGCGAAAAAGTGGAAACAACCCAAATGTCCATCAGCTAATGAACGGATAGACAAGATATGGCATATCCATACAATGGAATACTATTAGGCTATGAAAAGGTACAGAGTATTGACACATGCTGCAACATGAACATCAAAAACATTAAGTGAAAGAAGCCGTATGCAGAAGACCACATATTATAGGATTCCATTTTTATAAAATGTCCAGATAAGGTAAACCTATAGAGTCAGCAAATAGATTAGTAGTTGCCTAGGGCTGGGGTGGGAACAAGGAGTAAGCAAACTGGCATGAGGTTTCTTTTAGGGGTGATGAAATTGTTCTAAAACTGGACTGTGGTGATGGTTGCACAAATCTGTAAATTTACTAAAAATCCTTGCAGTGTACACATACACTTTAAAACAAGTGAATTTTGTGATATGCAAAATTATACCTCAATAAAACTGTTAAAACAAAAACAAACAAAAAAATCTATAAAGGCCCCATCTATTCAACAAGATATGCTAGTTGAACAACAACCCAAAGAGCTCTTTAGCACATGCTATAAAATGAACAGTGTGCTGGGCCTGGGGATAGAGATAAATATGATAGTCTATATAAGGAATTCCTTCAGATCAATAAGAGAAGGATGGATGACCAAAAGAAAAGAGAGCAAAAGATTTGAATAGGCATTTCACAAAATAAGATACCCAAATGACCAATAAACACATTCAAAGATGTTCAACCTCACTACATCAAGAAAAGCAAATTAAAATCTTAATGAGCTGCCAATATATCCCAGATGGTGAAAATAAAAAAGCTAGGAAATACTATGCATTAATGAGAATGTGGTACAACTGGAACTCTCATTCACCGCCGGTGGGAGCTGTATAAACCCATTGGAGAACTGGCTGTATTTTGCAAAGCTGAACACAGCATACTCGATGACCCATCCATCCACTCCTAGTTATATGCCCAACGGAGATGCATTCATATGTTCACCGTATGATCTCACTTACGTGAAATATCTAGAATAAGCAAAGGTTTAGAGATCAAGGTTTTATAAGTGGTTACCAAAGGCAGGGGCAGGAGGGAAAGAGAGAGAGAGGGAGTCATCGTATAGGAAGCAGTGAGCATGTTACAGGTGATGAACAATTTGGCAACAATGGTTGATGGTGGTTGCACAACATAATTAATATAATTGATATCACTAAGTTGTACACATATAAAACATTGAAAAATGTTGTGTTATATGTATCTTTACAAACTTTTTTTTAATTTAAAGAAGACATATGTAAAACAATGTTCATAACAACACTACTCGTGATAGTAGCCCCCACCTGGAAACAGCCCAATGTCCATCAACACTAAAATGGACAAATTGTGACATATTCTTACAATGGATGAATTTCCAGTCATATAATGGAAAACTCCACATTTTGAGAATGAACAAACTATTGCTACTTACAATAATATGTGAATTTCACAGACTTAATGTTGTGCAGAAGAAGCCAAACTCTAGAGTACAGAGA